AACATGCCCAATTGTTCTCCCATCTGCCCCGTTTCTCCACTTTCCTCACCCTCCCTGTATATTGCCCCCTTCCCTAGCACCCAAGCTCTCCTGTGTCCAATACCCACCCTGTGCTCCATCCTTCCCCCTTCCTCCACCCATCACCAACTTCCCAACAACCAACAAAGACTTTCCCCTACCCCCTTTTAGTATAATTTATTTTTCTTAGTCTTTTACAGTAGTGTCAATACCAAGACTCTTAAAGAAGTAAAATCTCAGAGTGGCAAGAGCTTTTTATGATTTTTAGCAATTATATATCTTGGTAAAGTGGAGGGTCAGCAAAAAAGAAAGATCCCCAATGAGGTGGATTAATACTGTGGTAGCAACAGTGGGCTCAAACGTAACAATTGTGAGTGTGGCACAGGGCTGGGCATGTTTTGGTCTGTTGTGCAGAGTATTGAGTTGGAACTGACATGACATCACTTAACAACAACATCAACAGTTATATATGAATATTCTAGGTCACCTTAAAACATTAGTGGGAATAGAGCTACTGGTTGCTTTGGGTGGGAGAGGTCCCAGTGAGAGGCTCAGACTGAGAGCATGCCTGAAGGTTGTGTTTGGGTGAGTCAGAAAGTGCTCCCCAGCACTTGTGGGCACTCTCCTATTTAACCCCTGCAAAAATTTGAGACAACAAAGTATTCTCCCATAATCCTCTCTACTCCACTGGGTTCAGTAATCCATTGCAGTGGATACCCAGAACTCAGAGACAATTTCACACTTAGGAGTTTATTGGAAGTTAACAGGTTAGGATTCGGGGTCAGAAAGGCTCAGGGCACAGTTGTTCCAGTCAGCTGCTGATAAATGCCCATAGGAAACACCACTCCTACCACAATAAGCTTCAGCCTGGCTCAAGCTCTGTGGTTCAGCAAACCTAGTTCCCCCACTAAGTGCCTGGAGGCTTTCAAGCTTACAAGCAAGCTTCCTGTCTGAAGTCGTTCAGCTTTACTTGCTCCGTGGGCTGGCAAGTTCACTGCTCTGTCTCATGCTCTGGTTCTTGGTTCTGCTGCTGCTTCTCTGCCACTCCTCCGGTGTCACAGCTTTCTGTCCCTGGATCCATGAGGGTCAAAGTGCCGCAGGGATCTCTGTTTCTAAAGGATGCGTTCTGCTTCTGGTTCTTCTTTTTCGGTGGTAGTGAGATATCCCCTCCTACTTCTGAGATGGCTCAATTTAAACCCCCATAGTAGAGTGCCAAGGAGTCCTGATGTGGTGCTGTAAGCTAACACTGGACTGCAAGGTGGGTTTGGGCTGCAAGATCGGTGGTTCAAACTCACCAGTCACTCCTTGGAAACTCTATATAAAGTCACCATGAGTCGGAACCGACTCGATGGCACTTAACAACTACAGGAAGAATTTCAGATTTTTCCAATTACAATTAACTGCTAACATCCACAGCTGAGTCATGTTATCCTATCAGTATCGTCTCCCCCATTCTCTTACTCAGACCTAGCAAGGCAGGAACGTTGTTTGATGGGAGTTACAGACTATGACTAAAAGAGACATTAGATAACTCACTACACCACAGCTCCACTGTAGTATTGCCAATTTTATGATCCTCCCCACTTTACAGGAGAGAAATCATCCAAGGCTGTGCTGTTAGTAAGCAGGAGGCTCAGGGTTGACCTGGTGGCCTGACATGGAGACCAGCCTGCTCAGTTGCTCTAGGGTCATGTTCACCTTCCCACAGCTCCTACATTGTCACCTTCTGTGTGGAGCAATGGTGTGTGGATGGACACTCTGTATTCCTCCATCCGCCTACTTGTCTTGAGGGTTTGCCTTATGCCAGGTCCCCTTTTCAGGAAAGAGTATTTGTGGGCTATTTGGAGCTGCAGAGCATCAAGGTCTGTGGACTTGGTCACGTGGTATGGATGAGCCTCAGAGGGGCTGCACACCGAACATCTGCACAACCCCTGTGTCAGTGGAAGCGGATTCCTGGAAACCTGATCCCATTTTGAGAGCCTTCTCTTTGCAGGATCCCAAGACGCTGCTGTCCTGCATAGACTTCAGGTACATTTCCGACGCCTTGACCGAGGAGGAGGCCTACGGTGAGTCACACTTACGTGATGCAAGTCTTTTGATTTCTACTGATGTGACAGCGTGCTTGTCTCAGAGAGTAAGTGATCCTCTTTATTTTTTCCAGAAATACTGCAAAAAGGTCAAGCTGGAAACAAGGAGAGAGGTAGGCTACGAGAGAAAGTTTCCATCACTGTTTTTTTGACCATTGCTGTCTTTTGAGGGTGCACATTATCCTCCCAGATATCCTCCAGCAGCCAGGCCCCCAGACAGACGCCTGGTCTGGATGAAAGCCTCAATGCACAGAGGCCATGTCAGCCATCAGGAGTCAGCCTGGCCTTAGGGTTACACTGCAGGACATGAGAGGGCCATGGTGAGTGGGACAGTCCAAGATGGTATCCCTACCACCCAGGCTTTACCTCCTGGGTGATTTCATCATCATGAACCGTAGTCGGGAGGCCAGACTAGTTGCTGGATGTGTATGTTATGGGAGGATCAAAAGAAGAATAGCTGGATTCTCCATGAGAGCAGCTTGACCATAGGGAGTTCTGGTTCAGAATGGTTGCTGTTGAGTCGGTTCCGACTTCAGGAGAGCCTGAATGCATCAGAGTGGAACTGTACTCCACGTGGTTTTCAGTGGCTGTGATCTTTTTGAATTAGATTGCTAAGCCTTTCTTCTTACTCACCTCTGGGTGTACTAGAACCTGCAGCCTTTCCGTTAGCAGCTGAGCATGTAACCATTCGCACCACCCAAGTGCTCCTCTGATTTTGAAGGTCACTGGAAAAGGCCAGGTGCTGACCAGTATTGTTTTTACAGAAGTGCAGATGCTGGCACATGGCTATCCTGCCTATACCACATCGTGTGCCTGGCTCGGGTACTCGGATAACACCTTGAAGCAGGTTGGCGTTTTTAATCTAATTTTGTAGAAAGGCTTTATACTCCTGGCTTTCTGGAAGATATTTTCCGTCAGCCTTTCTAATTCATTTTAGGTCTGGTCCAAGGCATCATTATGAAAATTACTTTTACATGTGCAGAAATAAAGCCATTCACAGTATGGGCACTGGTCTCTGCAACCTATGACTCCCAGGTTGACCTCTGAAAGGAAGCAGTCAGGATTGGGTTCCAGACATTCCCAGTGTGTCATGCCATGCACGTTGCTTAACCACACTGAGCTTCCATTTCCTCACTGAAATGAGAAAGAAATACCTGTCTTCCTGGGAGAGGTTAAGAACTAAGGTACTAGAAGTTGTGTAGTGCATGGAGCACCCTAGTAGGCATATCCTGTGGCCCGATAACTTTCTCATCAACCTGCAATCAGAGCTAAGGTTGATAAAGGAGACTGGTTTCTGTTTGATACTGTATCATCCATTAGTTCTGTGGATGGCATAAAGTGTACTAGCTTTAAAGAGGGATGTTGTTGTTGTTAAGTGCCGTCGAGTCGGTTCCGACCCATAGCGACCCTGTACAGGGTTTCCGAGGGTGTAAATCTTTACAGGAGTAGAAAGCCTCATCTTTCTCCCGCGGAGCAGCTGGTAGTTTCGAACCACTGACCTTAAGGTTTGCAGCCCGATTCGTAACCACTACGCTACCAGAGCTCCTTTTAAAGAGGGATAGTAGAGTGATATTCCTCTTTCAGAAATGTCACAATTTAAGAAATGGTTCCCAAAGAGATGAGGAAAGAAAATTATAAGTACAAAGAGTTATACCTGTTGGCTAAGATGTTTCCACTCTTAATTTCAACAACACCTGGTTGTTTTTCTGGCTTATGCCACAGCCAGAGCATTGTTAACTCCAGGTCAGAGGTACCATTAGCCTAAGGAGGGTGTCTCATCTCAGTGTGCTCTGATGGATGAGTGACTGATGGGTGTACTCCTCCCCTGCAGCTCTGCTCCGTGGCCCTGCGGGACGGCTGGACAAGGTAACTGCCTGTGGAGTAATGGACTCAGCTGTCTGTGGCTTAGCGGGAGGAGGGTTTGTGAGTGGAGAGGAGCCCGGCTTAGAAGCACTTGGCACACCAGGATGCATGCGTAGGCAGCCTGGCCTCCAGGGATGGGTGAGAGAAGCTTCTGAATCAATGCTGGGACCTTTGTGCACTGAGCATGGAGTAGAATCCTAGAATGCCAGAGTTAAACAAGACCTCAGAGAGCATCAATTTTAAGCACCAATCTGGAATACCAAAAGCAAATCCACTGCCATCTAGTTGATTCCAAAGAAACCCTACAAGACAGAGTAGGACTACTCCATAGCGTTTCTGAGGCTGTAAATCTTGGAAGATAGTCTTACCTTTGTCCTGCAGAGCCACTTTTAGATTTGAACCACCAACTTTGCAGTTAGCAGCCAATGCTTATCCCACTGTGCCACCAGGGCTCCTTCCAATGTAGAGTAGAAATACATGATTTACTGTCAGTAACAAACTTAAATTCAGCTTCTGCTTGAATATCCCAAGGACAGCGAGCTTAACTTTGTACGATACTTTTCCATTGTTTAATAGCTCTGAGTGTTATAGAAGGATCTTTTATTTTGTGAACTCCTATCTCCCAGGTAACTTCGAGCCACTTCCAAGTTCTTCATGAAGTTCTCAAGAGTCAGTCTGCTCCTCTGCCCCTAGAATGACTGCCCTTCCCTTTTTCTTTTCTTCCTCTCCTCCCTTTGGTTAAGTACCATGGTTATAGATCTGTGAGCATTCTGGGCCATTCCTTTGGTGGCCCTATGGTTGTCAGTGGCCCAGGATCTTGATACAGTGCAGGACACAGAGGGCCTGTCACCTCACACGTGGCCATTGGGCCCAGGCTGTCGTCTGTCTGGTTGTCAGTCTGTCTGGTTGTCAGTGTAGTCCATGGACCAGGAGCAGCAGCAGCATCTGGGGGCTTGTTAGAAATGCAGATTCTCAGGTCTCTCCCTACACCTGCTGATTCAGAATCTGCATTTGTATCAGGTCTCTGGGTGATTCATGCACCCATTAAAGTTAAAGAGGTACAGAATTCTTGTTAACTCCTTCACTGAATACTGGGCTAGGAAGGGAGAAAGTGCAGAAGGCAGCAAGCAGTGGTGAAGAGAGGCTTTGGAACCTATAGATTTGAATACAAATCTTGTCTTTCTTCCCAGCATTCCCTGCCAGTATTAGCTGTGTGATATCTTAGACAAATTGCTCAACCTTTCTGAACCTTGTACTTCCGCTCTATAAAAGATAGATAATACTAAGTCACGGTTCTCCTCAAGAATAGTTGCCATATCTGTCCTGGTGTGGCACTGTGAGTTAATGTGCCAGACTGCAAAGCCATTTGAACTTCGAGGTCAGTGGTTCAAGCTCACCAGCTACTCCTCGGAAACCCTATACAGGGTCGCTATGGGTCAGAACCAACATAACAGCACTTCACAACAACAACAAATATCTGTCCAGGACCAGTATGTGCAGGATTCTATCAGGGGCTCAATGTGTGCTGGCTTCTTCCTCTTGTCTACATGTCCAGGGAAGGCCAGAGTAATTTAATTATGCCCAGTGAGTCAGAGAAGACTCAGGAAAGATTCCATCTGCTTCTAACATAGGACAGCATCTAGCAGCCTTGGCCAGCTGCAATTATCTGGGGGGAAGCACCTGGTTTAGAAATGTCTTACGTGAGTTTAGTGCTGACTATACAGGATTGTTATGAGTCAGAATCGACTCGATGGCACTTAACAACAGCAACCAGGGGGAGAGGACCCCAGTAACTGCCCAACTGGAAGCTGGGGCTCTGTAAGTAGAGAGGCTGGACATTTGGGTACCCTAGCTCTGCTGGGAGTGGCCCCTGTGGCCATGCTTGAGTCCTACAGGCAGTCGTGACCTTGAGTGTACAGGGTGAAGGGGCAGGGCACATGCAGGCGGATGCCACCCTCCTTGGGTGATGAGAAGGGGGGAGGGATGGAGCATGTCAGAGTGGATTTGCAGATGTGGCGAGATGTGATGAATGAGGCCCATGCTACTCTGAAACTTTGTGATCTTAGGAAGACATATTACCGTCTGAGCCCCAGACCCCTATGTGGGGAATCAGAGGTCTCTGTGGCCCACCTCTCACTGTGCTAGTAAGACAAATCAGGCTATAGAAAGGGCTGTGTGAGCATTTTTATAAATAATTCTCTTAGGTTCAGGATACAGTTGGACAGCTCGGTGGCATCCTTTCCATTCCAACCCTTCACTTCAGTTCTGATTGTGGCTTTTCTGGATTTCGTGGCTTTTCTGGATTTCATTCCTTTTCATGATACAGTAATAACTTGGTTCATGTTCCTAAAAATTGGTTCAAGTCTAACATCCCTCTCCAGCTCCTTAACTTCCAATCAGCAGGTGAGTTAGAGCCATTGCCCATATAGTGAGGAAGACACGGAGTTTGAGGCTTTTTCGCAAGTGACTTGTCTGCAGCTGATTAGGTGCCATCAGGCTAGTACTAGACAATGTGATCTGCAAATTATTGACAGAGGGGGCCCTTCTCCAGGAAACCTGGGCATCTGCCAGGACAAGGGACAGATGTAAACTGCCAACCACATGTATCTTGTAGGTTCAAAGTCAAGGTTGGGGCTGATCTCCAGGATGACATCCGCAGGTGTCGGCTTATCAGAGACATGATCGGACCCGAGAAAACACTGGTAAATAGACGCGCAGCTGCTGGGAAGTAAGCAGTCGCCACGAAGACTTTGTCCAGGACCAAAGCAACTCATTTCTAGCAAGGGCTGAAGAACACTGGGAAACTTAAACTTACAGACAAAGTACAGCTCTCTGGTCTTGTAGTAGGTCAGCTCTTGAAAAAATAAAACAACAGCAACAACATTGTGGGGGGTGGCCATTTTATTTTATTTTCCCTGCAGAATTGGTTAAATAAGACCTGGAATCTTAGGAAGCTTTCCTTCTTGCTAACGCAGATGCACTTAAGCAAGCAGGACTTCCACTGGCCCTGCTGCAGCCTCATTTAATCTCCCTTCTGAACACATCGTACTTATGGGGCTTGTCAGGCAGCTTAGCCGGAAGCTTTGGCTGGGATAAACAGAAGGATCAGGCATTCTTGACTGTGCATTTTTATAAAGCACTTCTTATTATGTGTAAAATATCTTCGGAAAGTATTGTCATAGTAAATTATTATTTTTTTAATAAAGAGGCTTGTTTTATAATTTAAGTGACAAGTTTGAAGTCCTTGACATATGATCAGAAGTCCCAGTATGCACTAATAAAGCTATTTTTGTTTTATGAAGTCATCCTCATGTAAATAATTTATGATAAAAATTGATTCTGAGTGCACTTTGCTCTGGTCCTCATAGCATCTCCCCACTTAACCATGTTCTACTAGAGGGATCTGTTAGTCTTCTTAAGTCTGTACCCCAAGCACTTGGCCGTCAGGAGCATTGGCAGAGTGCAAAGAACCAGGGACCTGGACCCAAAAGAGGTCTAGGTTGAATGCACAGTTTACTTGACTTGCCCTTGAGTAAGGATAATAACTTACCTGCATGTCAGCTTTCCAATTTATGGTGGTGGTAGTGGTGTGCTATGGAGTTGATTCCGATTCATAGCCACCCTGCACAGGGTTTCCGAGGCTGTAAATCTTTATGGGAGCAGAAAGCCTCATCTTTCTCCCATGGAACAGCTGGTAGTTTCAAACTGCCGACCTTTAGGTTAGCATCCCATCTCGTAACCACTACGCTACCAGAGTTCCTACTTATAAAATGGGTTAATATGAATGACTTCTATCAGTTGTAAATATTAAGTGAGATAAAATCCATAAAGTGCTTAGTGGAGTAGATGCTTAATTTATGGACATGTTTGGGTTGTTATACTAGACCTATTGTGGGTACCCAATAATTATTACCGTGAGCTCAGTATTGAGTATGTATAATGATTTAAAGTATGATAGTATGCTCCTACTAACAGGGTTAATACAGATTTACTTGGGTGACATCTAAGTGGATATTGATCCAGTGAGCATCTCTTTAGGACCCTGGGCAAGGCATTTTCAGTGATCACAGCAGTCAAGTTCACCAGTGTGCATCTCCTCCAAAGGAGTCTCTTGAGCTGGAGTCTGAGTCTCTGTGCCTGCTGTTGGCTCCCTCTATTTGGGCAGAGGGCGTGGCCTCCTTGGGAGGCTCCTTCTTAGGGCTGAGTGTCGCCTCTGCCGGGAAGGTGCCAGGCTCCCTTGGAGAGTGGGCTTCAGAGTTGGTGGCACTGGGTGACATCATCTCCTCCCTGAGAGTCACAGCTCTGGAGTGCAAGGTCAGTCCTGGGCAGACCCGGTCATCAAGGGCCTCTTCCTCTTACAGATGATGGATGCCAATCAGCGCTGGGATGTGCCTGAAGCTGTAGAATGGGTGTCCAAGCTGGCCGAGTTCAAGCCATTGTGGATTGAGGAGCCAACCTCCCCCGATGACATCCTTGGCCACGCTGCCATTTCTAAGGTACAAAAGCTGCCATTGCTGCAGCTTTTCTTCATTTGATTCTCTTAGAGTGGTCATAGCCTGTCCCATAGCTCTTCTTACCCTCTTTTATGTTTCCTCACCAAGTAGCTGAAGTAATTGTCACTTGTGGTAAGAACTGGAATTGCAGACCTGACCTGCTTTTATTCACTTCAGCTTACCCACTGCCATTATTTCTATTGCTTCTAAATAAAGTGCTGCAAGCTGAGAGGTTACCCCTGGTCCAAAGGTTAGTGGGCATGGTTCCCATGCTTTGTAAATATAGAACTGTGACCAATAGTAGAAATATTTTGCTCACCAGAATGAAACAAAAAGGTATGGATTCCTCTGGGTGACTCAAAAGAAAAGGTTGGCTCAGCTCATGGGAAGACTGGGCCTTCCTGGAGAAGGTTGTTTCCTCAGAGTTCTGTTAACTGGGTGCTTCCTCAGCAAAGTCGCCCCGGTGGGGACTGGCCTCTCTCCTTCCAGGGTCAGGAAGAGCCTGATAATGTCAGCATGTCTGAGGAACACTGTCTCTCAGTCCCACTCCCCACATTGGCAGCACTGATTTCTAAAGCTAGAGCACCCTGTTTTGTAACCCCTGACCAGAGCAGGCCCATGGGAAGCGGTGTTAAACCACAGGCTGTGTGATGAGTGGGGGCGTCAGGGTGGCAGTTAGTTACATAACTGAATATGCAGCGCTCTCAGGCTAAGGTGGCCCCATGCTCTCATCCCCCCGCAGCCTTACTGCCTTCTGCTCACAAAGCAGGGACATTTCTTCTTACTTCTGGCACCAGACATTGTAAGTCTTAAACTTCATCTCCCTCCTCTGGGCAGAGATTCCAGCTTCACTTCTTACTCTTTTTTGTTCCTGCACTGTCCTTGGGGGTCAGTGCATTCATCCATATATCTGGCCTGCACAGGCACATTGCTTTTTCACTGAGACAACTTTCGTAGCTAATTTTTTTTATCTGTTTGTTAGGTGCTGTCTTAGACTGGGCTCTCTAGAAAAGCAAAACTAGTGAAGCTTATCTATGTATATATTGTTATTGTTGTTATTAAGAGCTATGCAGTTGATTCCAACTCATAGCAACCCTGTATAGGGTTTGTAAAGCTTTAAATCTTTTTGCAGAAGCAGTTAGCATCATCTTTCTCCCTCAGAATGGCTGGTGGGCTCAAACTGACAACTTTCTGGCTTGTAGACCTGTGCTTATCCTGTGGAGCCACTGCACTCCTATGTCTAAATGTGACAGGTTTATGTCAAGGAAATGGCTCACACAGTTGTTGAGGTGGTCAGTCCCACGTCGTCCCTGAGTTAGATGTCAGGCTGGAGGCTTCTGACTCACATGGGCCAAGATCGATAGGTCAGATAGCAGCAGGCAGACAGGCAGGCAGGTCCAGCAGGTAAGAAGGCAGGCAGGTCCAGCAGGTAAGAAGGCAGGCAGATCCAGCAGGTAAGAAGGCAGGCTGATGACTTCCAGGATCAGCACTGTGTCAAGTTCAAAGATTTGGAGGTCAGAGGACTATCCAGATTCAAGACTGAGACCCAGCAGAGAGTAAACCAGATTTGCCTGAGTGTCTAAGATATTGGAAGCAGGCCACGTCCCTGAGGAAACTTCATTTCAATTGGACCTCATCATAAAGTTGATTACATTATATTTGATCCCATCATGGGAATAACTACATCTCAACTGCCAAACCACTGAGAATCTTGGCCTGGTCAAACTGACACAAAACCTTAACTATCACAGGTGCCCTTGAGTCAGTTTCAACTCATAGTGACCCTGTGCACAACAGAAGGAAACACTGCCAAGTCCTGTACCATCCTCACAATGTTATGTGTGAGCCCATTGTTAGTGTGAGCCCACTGTCAGTCCCCTGTCGGCGGGGGGTGGGGGGTGTCTTCCTCTTTTTTGCTGACATTTCACTTTATTGAGCATGATGTCCTTCTCTAGGCACTAATTCCTCCTGACATGTCCAATGTACAAGAGACGAAATCTGGTCATCCAGGCTTCTTAGGAGCATTCTCTTTGTACTGCTGCCAAGACAGTTTTGTTTGTTCTTCTAGCAGTTCATGATACTTTCAATATTCTTCTCTAACACCATAATGCAAATGTATTGATTCTCTGTGCTCTTCATTATTGTCCAACTTTCAGACACGTTTGAAGTGATTGAAAATACCATGGCTTGAGTTGGGTACACCTTACACTGACATCTTGGCTTTTGAACACATTAAAAAGGTCTTGTGCAGCAAATTTGTCTAATGCAATAGGTCATTTGATTTCTTGACTGCTGCTTCCTTACGTGTTGATTGTGGATCTTTGCTTTGGCAACTTCGATCTTTTATCATATTATTTATTGGTCCAGTTGTAAGGATTTTCATTTTCTTTATATTGAGGTGCAATCCACACTGAAGGCTGAGGTCTTTCATTTTCATCAGTATTTTAAGTCATCTTCACTTCCAGCAAGCAAGGTTGTTTCCTCTGCATATTGCAGGTTGTTAATGACTTTCCTCCATTTCTGATGTCACATTCCTTATAAAATCCAGGTTCTTAAATTATTTGCTCAGCATACACATTGAATAAGTATGGTGAAAGGATACAACCCTGGCACACGCCTTTCCTGATTTTAAACCATTTAGTATCTTCTTGTTCTGTTTTAATGACTGTCTCTTGGTATGTGTACAAGTTCCTAATGAGCACAATTTAGTGTTTGGAAATACCCATTCTTTGCATTGTAAACCATAGTTTGTTATGATTCACACAATTGAATGACTAAACACAGTCAGTAAAACACAAGTAAACATTTTTCAGGTGTTTTCTGCTTTCAGCCAAGATACATCTGACATCAGCAATAATATCCTTCGTTCCACGTCTTCTTCCTAATGCAGCTTGAATTTCTGGCAGCTCCTTGTTGATGTACTGCTGCAACTGTTTTTTAATTATTTTTAGCATAATTTTTTGCTTTCTTAATGTATGATGTTCTTGATGTTATCCCATAACTCTTCTGGTCTTCAGTCATTGGTGTCTAATAACATCCAATTTGTTCTTGATATTGTCTCTGAATTCAGGTGATGTATACACGAGGTCATATTTTGGCGCTCATGAATTTGTTTTCATTTTATTCAGTTTCAGCCTGAACTTGTATATGAGCAGTTGCTGGTCTGTTTCATAAACTTTCCTATTTTGGCAGATGATATTAAGCTTCTCCATTGTCTCTTTCCACAAATATAGTTAATTTGATTCCTGTGTTTTCCATCTGGTGAGATTCACATTGTTAAGTGCCATTGAGTCGATTCCAACCCATAGCGACCCTATGTAGGGTTTCTGAGGAGCAGCTGGTGAGTGTGAACTACCGACCTAGCAGTTCAAACGGCTTTGTAGTCTGATGCCTTAGCCCACAGTGCCACATCGGGACTCCATTCACATGTATATTCACTGTTTATTTGTTGAAAAAAGGTATTTCCAATGAAGAAATCATTGACTTGTAACATTCTGTCATTTGACCTCAGCATTATTCCTATCACCAAGGCCATATTTTCCAGATGCTGATCTTTCCTCTTTTGTTTCCAATCTTTCCATTCCAATCACCAGTATTTATCAATGCATCTTGATTACATGTTTGATATATTGCCGATTGAAGAAGTAGGTTTGTTGTTGTTGTTGTTGTTGTTAAGTACCATAGGGACCTTGTATAGGGTTTCCAAGGAGCATCTGGTGAGTTTAAACTGCTGACCTTGTGGTTCACACCCACCTTGCAGTTTTATCACTGGTTTTAGGGGTTCGCGCATAAATTTGAATAATAGTGGTATTATCTGATCTTTCTTGTAGGCTTATGGATATTATCCTATCACAGACAGCCTTGTACTTCATGCTAGAACTTGAAATTCTCTTTTTGAGGATGACTTAGATGTCACTCATCCTCAATTTGTCTTTCCCAGCATAGTAAACCATATGATTGTCTGATTCAGAAGGCCAGTACCTGTCCATTGTAGCTCACAAATGTCTAGGATATTGATCTTTGTGTTCTATTTCATTTCTGATGACTTTCAATATCCCTAGATTCATGTTTCATATATTCCACGTTCTGATTATTAATGGATGTTTGCAGCTGTTTCTTCTTATTTGAATTGCACCCCATTAGCAAATGAAGGTCCTGAAAGCTTTGTTTCATCCATGTCATTAAGTTCGACTCTACTTTGAGGTGGTGTCTCCTCCCCAGTCACATTTTGAGTGCTTTCCAACTTGATGGGCTCCTCTTCTGGCATGAGATCTGAGTGTTCCACTGTTATTCATAAGGTTTTCGTGCCTAAACATTCAGAAGTGGGCCATCTCTCTTTCTTCCTAGTCTGTCTTAGTCTGGAAACTCTGCTAACCTGTCCATCATGGGTGACCCTGCTGGTATTTAAAATACCAGTAGCATAGTTTCCAGAATCACAGCAACACACAAGCCACCAAAGTATAACAAAATGACAGACGAGTGGTAGTTTCTTGGCTATACTTTCTCCCATTATGTGGTGATTTAAAAACTTTAACTCTGAGGACAATATTAATTCCAAGTTCTAAGAGAGATGCCTCACTGTGTCTTACATGGACTACCGACTCCCAGGGGCCTAATCTTCTCTGTTTCTCCTAGTAAATCAACATCTTATCTACCAGATGTCTGGCACTCAGTGGGAACCTATGAATAAGACATGTGCTCCACTCTCCTGCTCTACAGCCTAGCTGGAGAGAAAACACTAAAAGACAAAAGCTGGGCAAGTGCAATAGTGCTGGGGTGCTGAGGCAGGGAAGATGGTGTGTGGGTTGGGACTGCTTTCTAGAAAGGGCTTCGTGGAGCTGGGACAAAGCTGAGAGGAAAGCTAAGCTGCAGGGGAGGGAAGGGCCTGGAGGAGCCACAAAGCAACTTCCATCTGAAATGAGAATTGGGATGAACATTCCTGACTCAACAGGGCCCTTCCCCAAGAATCTTCTTCCTATTCTTTTAGCTGTGGGTCCTGGAATGAGAGGTGGTAGACTGATGACACCATGTGGAATAGAGTGGGCAGGGTGGGTGGGAGGAGGAATGGGCAGAAAGGAGCTAGAGGCAGGGATAGGAGGGAGGGAGCGTGTTCAAACATCTAGGTATGGTAGGTGGCATGGGGTTTAAAGAGAGGGGGCAGTTAGACTAGTGCAAATTCAGGAAATACTTAAAGGAAGAAGTAAAATTTAATACATACTCAGTGCCAGAAACATATATGCTTTAAACTTGCAGAATGGAATGAAAATAGTCAAGATAAATGGCTTTCCCCCTCCTTCCTTTATTCTACTTTGTCTTTTGAGACAGTGAACCAAGAATACTTACATTAGAAATGACTGAACACAGTCACCAAAAGAAAGGAAATAGTAAAGATCAGGGCAGAAATAAATGAGATAGAAAACAGAAAAACTATAGAAACAATCAACAAGACAAGAAGCTGGTTCTTTGAAAGAATTAATAAAATCGACAGACCACTGGCAAACCTAACAAAAGAAAAGAGAGAGAGGACACAAATAACACGCATTAGAAACCACATGGGTGAGGTCACAACGGAACCAAAGGAAATCAAAAGGATAATAACAGAATACTATGAAGAGTAATACTCCAACAAATTTGAAAACTTAGAAGAGATGGATACATATCTGGATAAACACGACCTACCTAAACTTACATACAATGAAATAGAAAACCTAAACAGACCTATAACAGTAGAAGAAATTGACCAAGTCATCAAAAGACTGCCAACCAAAAAAAGCCCAGGCCCAGATGGCTTCACAGCTGAATTCTACCAAACATTCAGGGAAGAGCTGACACCAATACTACTCAAATTATTCCAGAATATAGAGGAGGATGGAAAACTTCCCAATACATTCTATGAAGCAAGCATAACCCTCGTACCAAAACCAGGGAAGGACGTTATTAAGAAAGAAAACTATAGACCAATATCCCTCATGAACATAGATGCAAAAATCCTCAACAAAATCCTAGCCAACAGAATTCAGCAACACATCAAGAAGATAATACATCATGATCAAGTGGGATTCATATCAGGGATGCAAAGATGGTTCAACATTAGGAAAACAATCAACGTCATCCACCATATAAATAAGAAAAAAGAAAAGAACCACATGATCATATCGATTGATGCAGAAAAGGCATTTGACAAAATCCAACATCCATTCCTGATAAAAACACTCAACAAAATAGGAATCGAAGTAAAATTCTTCAACATAATAAAGAGCATATATACAAAACCAACAGCCTATATTACTCTCAATGGAGAGAAATTGAAAGCCTTTCCTCTGCGAACAGGAACAAGACAAGGATGCCCTCTGTCACCGCTCCTATTCAATATTGTGTTGGAAGTCTTAGCAAGAGCTATACGGCAAGATATGGAAATTAAAGGCATCCAAATTGGCAAAGAAGAGGTAAAGCTCTCCCTATTTGCAGACGATATGATCCTATATATAGAAAAACCCAAAGACTCAGTAAAAAAGCTACTAGACCTCATTGGAAGATTTAGCAAAGTGGCAGGGTATAAGATTAACATACAAAAATCAGTTGGATTCCTCTATACCAAAAATGACAATGATGAAAAGGACATTAGAAAAGCAATCCCATTTACAATAGCCACCCAAAGGATGAAATACCGTGGAATAAATATAACAAGAGAAACAAAGGACCTATACAAAGAAAATTACAAAACACTACTACAAGAAAACAAAAGAGAATTACAAAAATGGAAGAAAATACCATGCTCCTGGATAGGAAGACTCAACATTGTAGAAATGACTGAAGCAGCATTTTAGTGGTTTCATCATCACTGGAAGATGATGCCTTTAGAGAGTGTCTGCGCCAGCTCCATCCTGTTGCAGATGAGCTGAGGCTGGAGGTGGTGGGTTACTTGCCCAAGTTCATACATCTTGTCAGAGCAGGATAAGCTTCTGGACTGGACACTTATAAACTGGAATTTTCTGCTGAAAAATTGGCTTCCTCTGGTGATTCCAATCATTCCTCTGGCTCTAGAATCTGCCTAGAGTTCAAGTCCTGCCTCTGTTTTTTTCTAGCTTTGCGATTTGAGGACAGTTAAAGTAACCCTACAAATGTATTTTCTCATCCTTATAATGTGGGCAATCTGGCATGCCATTGGGTTGCGAGGACAGCAGTTGAAATCAGTGTTTTGCATATGCTCCAGCGGAAAAGAGCTGAGAACACTTTAGCTCCCAGTGTCATTGACTTTATTACCCTGAACACAGAGCAAGGGAGCCTGGAGGCTGAGGGAGCAGCTGGCCACGGGTGAGGCAAGTGAGTGAGCTTTAGAGAGAGGGTGGGCAGGCAGGTGGACAGTAGCAGCAGGGGTGTGCTGGGGGAAGATTCCAGCACATGAAGAGTTCATACTAATGGTCTCCGTCTAGCCTATAAAGGGGCTGTAAGGAGTCCTATTCATAAAATTTTCAGTGACTAAATATTTACTAAATATTATTATACTTCAGACATATTGTCAGGAGGGACCAGTCACTGAAGAAGGATAATCATGTTTGTTAAGGTGGAGGGTCAGAGAAAAAGAGGAAGACCCCAACGAGATGGGTTGGCCAAGTGGCAGCATTGATGGACTCAAGTGTGGCAACAGTAGTGAGGTTGGCCCAGGATAGGGCAGTGTTTCATTCTGCTGTGCATAAGGTCGCTATGGGTTGGTACCGACTCGTTGGCACCTAACAACAACAACAACAGAGGAGGAGTCTTAAGGAGCTCTGGTAGCGTAGTGTTTACGAAATCGGGCTGCTAATCTCACGGTCAGCAGTTTGAAACTACCTGCTGCTCTGCTGGAGAAAGATGAGACTTTCTGCTCCTGTAAAGATTTGCAGCCTCGGAAACCCTGTACAGGGTCGCTATGAGTCGGGACCGAGTCCACAGCACATAACAACAAGGCATCCTGATGTGACACTGTAGGGTAATGTGCCAGAGTGCAAAGCCGTTTGAACTGCAAATTCCGCAGTTCAAGCTCACCAGCTGCTCCTCAGAAACCCTAGTCAGGGTCGCTATGAGTCGGAACTGACTCGATGGCACTAAACAACAACAACAAGGTCACCCTCTGTAGTCCTAGGGTGGCAGTGTGGGTTAATGCACTAGACTGAAAAGTCAGCCGCTTCTCAGAAACCGTACACTGGGTCGCTATGGGTTAGAATTGACTCAGCAGCAGTTGGGATTAACATGAAAATGTTCTAGAATAGCACTGCTGAGTGGTTATCAGGGAGGCAGTGAAAAGGGACTACAGAGTGGTTGGTGACCTGTAGAAGGATTTGGGCAGAGGTGGAACCATGTGAATTCATGATGAGTTACTGCTGAGTAGCTGTGTCTTCTCCCAGAGTCCCACCTCTGCCCAGGCCCAGGAGAGGGGCGAGCAGGCCATTCACAGAGCATAACCCAGTAGGACGCTGCAGAAGGAAATCCACAGAGCCTTAGCCAGGAAGGGAGCCAGGGGCAAGAGACGAACACATGTTTGCTTTCTTTTTTCTGTAGACACATACAGCCCCATCCGTATACACACAGGCCCCCCTTGACATCCTTCTGCTGTCCTTGAAACTTCACACGGCTCAACAGCAGGGATGTTTCCTCCTTCAGCTACAAATATTTTTAAAACATTTAGGAGTTTCAGTGCAAAACCATAGGAAAATAACACCCGATTGCCTTATGTCTTTTAGGCATTGGCCCCATTAGGGATTGGTGTTGCAACAGGAGAACAGGTAAGTGATGTCTGTGGTCAGAGCTCCATGACACCAACTGAGAATGCAGCCAGGCAGTGGGCTCCCCCATCTCTTGTTCTTTGAGTTCGAGAACTTTCCTATGCTCAGAAACGGAATCATGGTGCAGAGTTCAGAGTTAGATGTGTCTAGAAGGTGGTAGATTTGTCTACATTTCAGATAAGGTCATTCAGCTTTTCTGAACCGTCTCATCAAAATTTACAAGGAAGCAATTCAAAGATGCCTTTGCAGGGAAATAAAATGCACGGTGTGGTTTTCAGAAAGCCAGCTTCCAAATTGCATCAATAGTGTTGCGTGACTTTATTCACTGAGTAAACTAAGCACAAGTGCCTGCCAACGCCTGCTGCACATCCCACGGACCAGAGCTGTGTGAGAGGCTGAGTCTCAGCTCTCCCAGCAAAAGGAGCAGTGCTTTGCGAGGTTCGGTTGTGTAGCCCCCCACCATCTGCTCCTCACTCTGACTGTTTTTCATTGTGATACCTCGCTGCACCGCCCACTCACCAATGCTGTGACAGCTATTCCTTACTAAGCAAAGTGAGCGTGGCCTTCATACAACTCCCACTGTTCCGCTAGTACATGTGTAAAAGAAGTAAGTACCCGCACTATTGGGGCTCACCTAGTGCTGAGTGAGAACAGAGTACATGCAGTACAGGATCCCTGAAGGCCTTGGGGTTGTGCAGCTGAGGAGTGATGGACTTGTAATGACCATCAGCCAGGGGCAGAGACCTTGAAGAAGATCCATGCTGACTCTTGTTGGTATTGTTTGTAATTCTGTTTCTAGTGCCACAATAGAGTGATATTTAAGCAGCTTCTACAGGCCAATGCCCTGCAGTTTCTCCAGATTGACAGCTGCAGACTGGGAAGCGTCAATGAGAACCTCTCAGTGTTGCTGATGGCCCAGAAGTTTGGAAGTAAGAGCTCTGTGGCATCTGCAAATCACATGCCTGTCTCCCCTCCCCAATGATTCCCCTGTGATTCCTCCAGTGATCTTTTCTATTCACATGAATCTTCATTTTGCCATTTATGTTGTTTTCTAATTGTCATTTAGACATAATTGGGGAATCTGACAATTCTCATTTTGGAATTTCATTCTCCCAAACTTAATTATTTAATCACCTATGAGCTATAGTGATTAATTTTGGAAAAAAACCTATAGGCTTCTTTTTCACCCCTTCCTCTCTCTGCTCAATTCTCTTTATGGTTGTTGTAAGTGGAAACTATAATGCCAGGATGTATTTGAGAATTGTAATCAGAACAAAGTGGTGGTTATGTGCCGTGGAGTTGGTTCCAACTCATAGTGACCCTGCATAGCGTTTCCGAGGTTGTAAATATTGACAGGAGAAGAAAACATCTTTCTCCCAAGGAATCGTAGTTTCAGACTGCTGACCTTGAGGCTAGCAGCCCATCTCGTAACCACTACGCTACCAGAGCTCCTTAATCTGAATATAGTCATTGTAATAATTTCCCATTTCTCTGCCAGCCTCTTGGCATTAAATAGAAATCTTTTTTTCATTTTAGTTCCTGTTTGCCCCCATGCTGGTGGAGTTGGCCTCTGTGAGTTGGTACAGCACTTGATTATATTTGACTACATATCTGTCTCTGCAAGCCTTACAAACAGGTCAGTAACGTGGCAGTTTGCAGTCAGTTAAGCATTGGGCTAACTAAAGGGTCAGTAGTTCAAACCCAGCAGCCACTGTGTGGGAGAAAGATGAGCCTTCTGTAAAGATTTTCAACCTTGGAAACTCTGGGACAGTTCTACTTGTCCTCTATCAGTCACGATGAGTCAAAATCAACTTGACAGCAGGGAGGTTGCTTTAATGTGGCATTTACCAACAATTGGGAGGATGGCACAAGACCAGGCAGTGTTTCATTCAGTTGTACATAAAAGTAAAGTCACCATGAGTTGGATCCAATTCTACGGCAACTAATAAAAGCAACAAATGAGGCGTTATCTAAGAATCCCTTCTGCTTAACTAGGGTCCTCAATCAAGGCCAGATGTTTCCAGTTCTGCTGTTATGACCAGTTTAAGAGCTCTGTCTATGCAGCACAGCCCATACAGAGGCTGAGTGGGTTTTGCTCCCATTTCTCCACATGGAAGGAACCTTGATAGTTAGGCATTGGGCTGCTAGCTGCAGGGTCAGCAGTTCACACCCACCAGCTACTCTGAGGGAGAAGAATGAGACTGTCTGTCCCGCAGATATTTACAGCCTCAGGGTTGCTGATTTGTTATCCACTTGGTGACAGTGGGTTTGGTTTTGTACAGGGGGGCCCACCATTGAGTTGTTATTTGTACATTTAGGGAAGTGAGATCTTGATTCATTTTGATTTGTCTACTTGCTGAGCTGAGGGGTTTTGCAACCAGATGGAAGCCAGCACTCTCAAATCAGCTCCTATTTCTGATTTCCCAAAGCGCTGTTTTCATTCATTCATTCTCTGCTTGTGTTGAGTCCTCTTTCTGACACTAGTCTTCCAGGATATGGTTACATCTTCTTCCCTCAGTGCCAGCTTCTTGCTCAGTGTGGCCCACAGAAGCTTTCTCCTTAAATTTGGGCAATTTCCTTCTAGGTAGCTGGCATACTGTGTTACGCTTTTCTTTTCTCTTGGAATTAAATATGGTATTGCAGAAGATCACTAATGTAGAGAGTGCACGCATAGAAACATGCATGGGAAAGGCTGAGAGAGAGGATTCATAGGGTGTACATGGGCTGCAGTAATTGTAATGGTTTTCTTCTAAGCTGGGGTGGATAAGTCAGGTGTTGCTTTTTAATATGCCTGAAATCTTCTCTATACAGTAAGAACATTAGGTTAGAAATACAGAGGCCTGGAGTTCTGAAGCTGCCAGTAAGGAGGTTTTACATGCATCAGCCAGTTCGTGCGGATAATGAAGGTTGGAAGTAGATTTTCTTTTTTTCCGTCTTCCAAGTAATATTCTCTGAATCTGTAGTGAAAAAACAAAAAACGAACTTTTCCTAGATTTTTCTGCTTTTTGTCTCCTTTCATTTCAGTTCTTGCTTTCAGGATTAAGAAGGAGATTCCAACCAACTTTGAAAGATCCTACAAGTCTAGAGGGCTGAGGAAGAGTCCCATTTAGGTTTTAGTGCCTCATCTACCCACTGAGTGGGTAGAAGGGCCTAGTGCCCACTGCAGATTCTACTGCACTGGAGCACCCTGTACATGATAAACAGACACATGCTGTTATACTGCAACACACATGCTTTGAGACTCACTGTATGAAGCACTGTTTCTCGCTTATCGTTCAAAGCCTAACTGACCTCTCCCTACGTGAAGTTTCTTCATCTGTACCCTCTGTTCTTTATAGATTATATATGGAGCACACATTCCATATAATAGGTACTAGTAAGCGTAGTGGTTACGAATCGGGCTGCGAACCTTAAGGTCAGCGGTTCGAAACTACCAGCTGCTCCGCGGGAGAAAGATGAGGCTTTCTACTCCCGTAAAGATTTACACCCTCAGAAACCCTATACAGGGTCGCTATGGGTCGGAACCGACTCGATGGCACATAACAACAATAACAATGTCTGGTGAACGCACGTGTGTCCCCAGCACCTGACGCACAGCCTGCATGTCACAGCCCATCCTTAACAGATGACTACAGTCAGGCAGGAGTTGGTTCACTTGCCCAAGGTCCCTAAATTAGAATGTGGCTGGCACAGACTTTGAGCAGAGATCAGTCTACTTCTAAAACCTGTGCTCTTAATCTTCTGAAATCACCTTATTTGGTGATTTTTTTTCTTAAGTTTTTATTGTGAATTATGTGACAGTTTACATGAGAAAACATTAGTTTTACATGCATCCTATCGTATATCATTACATTGCCATGGTCACAATCCCCTCCATGTCATCATCAAACAACCAAAGGGTACACCCCACGAACCTGCTCCTCGGTCATCAGCACAGAGCCCCTCTCCCTTCCTGAGTCCAGAGTCCCCATCTGCTCCATCTCTCCACGTCATCATCTCTGCCTCCATCTCTGGCGTCACTGCTTCTCTGGGTAGGGTCCCACACTCCGCTCTTCTCCTTTAATGGTTCCAGGGACCTCTGCTCCTTGACTGCAAAGTCAACCATTCCCTCCTTTTGCTACAAAATGTTTACCTTTATATTTCCGACCTTCACAGTCAGTCCTGATAGCAGTTATTCACTGTTGTACCACAAGAGTCCTATCCCCATCTCCTTTCATCAGCCCTGTCCAGACAGATTGGATACCACTAAGTGGAGATTCTACCTTCCCCTGCACCCTCTGGATCTAGGCTCCCTCTTAAAAGCTTGTAAGCCAGTCACTTCTTGCTTTTATAGTCCCACCCCCAACCCCATTTTGGGTAGCCAATGTCCAAGTTGCCCATCCCTGTCTACCCTGTGTACCAAGGGAGTGGGAATGATTTGTTCCCTCTTTTGAGCTACTGCATCCATAGGTATAGGTCAGGCTCATCAAATTGTATTAGATTACTCTGTTTTCTCTCTTATTTTAGTCATGTTCTGATCATCCAGCCATTGAATCCAGGTCAAGTGGGTATTATCTGCAAGTGTGAGTATTCTTGTACATATGCCTTCTCTTCTTATCAACTAGGCACTTCACTCTCCACTCTAGTCCTCTGTGGTTTATGTCAGTGTCTCTGGGCCCAGGAGTCCCCAGGTCTTACCACACTGCTGGTCAACCAGGTCTGTACTCAGGTTCACAGCAGTCTATTGAATATTGTAGGGCTTAGCTCGCAGCTTCATTGCTGTTTTTCCCTCACTTCCCCTTATTGGTGACTAATGTGGTCACCAATCAGAGTGCATGTCTGCTCATGTATTCCCATTGAGTCTTAGTCTTGGAAGGGGTTTGCCCTGAGGGGACCCGACCACTTGCCTTGATGCCTCCTGGGCAAGCAACTTGCTTGTCCTTGTAGTAGTCAATCGGACTGCCATTATTGTTTTTTATTTTTCCCGTTGGTCTTTCTTTAAAGTATCTTCCGTTCTAGCTGCACCAGACTGGTCTGCTTGTCTTTTCTATTGGAGATTTCCCACCTCAGAAGATTCTGGATGGGGTTCAGGATTCCACCTTATGCAATGCACAGGCTCTGCAGGAAGCCTCCTTCACTGGGCAACTTCTAGCCCCAGTTGAGGTATTCCAATTAGTTAATAGGCTGAAGACGGACTTACAAGCTTTCAATGGTGATGTTTCTGGCTATTCCTTTCTGTACTCCTTAGGTGTCTATTTTACAATGGTAGGCAAGGGAAACCAAGATTGAAAAGACAGCCAAGCATCTTAACATTATTTCCTCCCTTTTACCCATTCAAACCATGCCTCAAATCCCTGTATCCCAGAGCCCTGTTGTTTCAAGGTTGTACATACATCATTTACCTCTGTCCCACTTATCCCATGCAAACCTGCCATATTCTCCCATCCACCTTGTTCTTCCATTCCCCTTCTTGTGTATTGTTCTCCCTTAACCCCCAGCTCCTAAGCTATCCTGAGTCTATCCCCTATCCTGTGCTCCACTTTTCCCTCCCTCCACCCCACACATCTTGGGGTAACCAGCAAAGAATTTTTTTTCTCCCCCTTTTAGTATGGGTTCTTTTAGTCTTTTACAAGAGTGGTCCTACACAGTATTTCTCCTTTTGTGACTAATTTCACTCAGCATAATGTCCTCCAGGTTCAACCATGTTATGCTGTGGCTTGCAGGTTCCTTGTTATTCTTCAAGGTAGCACAATATTCTACTGTGTTTATGTACCAGTTTATCCATTCTTCAGTTGATGGGCACTTAGGCTGTCTCCATCTTTTTGCTATTGAAAATAATGCTGCTATGAACATTGGTGTGCATATATCTACTCGTGTTATGGCTCGTATTCCTTGTGGGTAAATACCAAGTAGAGGAATCGCTGGATCAAAAGGTATTTCTATTTCCACCCTTCTGAGGAAGTGCCATAGTTTCCCAGAGTGATTGGATCATTTTGCAATCCCACCAGTAATACAGGAGTGTCCCAATCTCTCCTTATCCTCGCCTTTATTGTCCTCTTTTTTTTTAATGTTTTATTGTGAATTATGTGATAGTTTACATGGGAGAACATTAGTTTTACATTCATTCTATCGTATGTCGTTTCCTTGCCATGGTTTCAGTCCCCTCCATGCATCATCAACCAACCAAAGGGTATACCCTGCAAGCCTGCCCCCAACACTCCCCCGGTCTTCAGCACACAGTCCCTCTCTGTGGATCTAAAGTCCCCAGCTGCTCCATCTCTCCACGTCATCGTCTCTGCCTCCATTTCAGGTATCACTGCTTCTCTGGGTAGGGTCCCACTCTCTGCTCTTCTCCCTTTATGGTCCTAGGGACCTCCACTCCTAGAATGGAAAGTTAATCACTCCCCTCCTTGCTATAAAACGTCTACCTTTACATTTCCAATCCTCACAATCAGTCCTGATAACAATTATTCACTGTTGTGTCACAAGAGACCCATCCGCATTTCATTTCATCAGCCCCGTAGACAGATTGGATACTAC